TCCCCCTTCACTGGCCATTACAAGTCGGGGTTCCCCCTCCCCCCCGAAATTTTACCTTCCTCCCCTTTTTCCCTCCAATTTTCTTCCTTCTGCTACCTCCGGTTTCCCTGTCTCTTTGCCCCCTGCCACGCTTCTCCATTTCCCCCCCCCACCCTTTCGCCCCCCCCCTCTTGGGTACGCCCAATCAGTTCCAATCTTTACCATCCCCCCTACCATTCCCAATTTTGTTCCCATAAAAACACCCTTGATTCTGAAACATTGAAGCAATCTCTGTATATTGCGAGCCAAAACCCATCAATGGACACTGATCCCCTTCCGCTCTTCTCTCTCCTCTCCCACTGCCAATCCTTTCTTCACAGCGCACCCTTCCTTCGCTGCTTGAACATTTTCCCCTGCTCCGCAGGGCTTTTCTAACCCCCTAGTCCGTAGGCCCTTACTGGGGTTTCAAGTTCTTTTTTCATTGCCTTCATGGGCCCTTTTTTAAATGGAATATCGTGGCCTCGGGGAATCGGGGTGAGCTTCAGTGTTACTCTCCCCGTTTGCCCCCGTTTTGTGTTTGCTTCAGGGAAAAAAAATTTCCTCGGGTGGGTTTTTTCCCAAATTTAGGCTATAATTTTTTGTTTCTTCAGATCCTTTTCCTGATGGGACTTTAAAAGAAAGTGCCTTCTCTCCCACTGATATTCCGTACCTCACTATTTGTTCATACTTCGCTGCTTTTCACAGCGCCCTATCCCCTTCATAGGTGGATACGCTTGTTCTTTTATCTCTCTCCTTTTCGGGCATTATCTATTCCGGTTTTTTCCTTTTCCCTTTTTTCGTCTTACCCCCCCCAATTCTGTTTTCTTGGTGATTTTAAAAGCCCCCCATTTCCTCGGGAGGGTCTCACTGGATTCCCCTGGGGAATTTATTGAGGCTTTTCTTTCCACCCACCCCCCTTTCCCTGTTTTAAAAAATTTTCACACCCATTTTGATCCTGGACCAACTCCTTGCATCGACTCTCGTTTGTCTTCCCCGCCCCATTAGAACTTTACTTGGTTGTTTCCCGGGGCTTTCTGACAGTGATATTTCCCAATCTTCTTATTCCCCCTTTATATTGCCACCCCTTCGCACCCCACGTGGCAAATTTTAAAGGGGAAAAAGGAACCTTTACTCACACTGCTGTTTTTTTAAAAAGGTTCCCTTTTTCGTCCCCATCTGAGCTTTTACACCTCTTCTCATCCTCCGTTTTCACCGCCTTCTCTTCTATACCCCAAATTCGGCAGGCTTCTCAGAAATGGTGCCTTGGGGTCTCCTGCTTGTGCTCGTGGTACGTTTTTTAAACGCGCTGCATGGGCAGGTCCGGTCAATAGAACCACAGAGGACTCCTTTATTTTTAAACGAAGGTGCGACGCTCGCCCTGTCATCCGTGAGCTAAAAAGCACTTTCTGGCGAGATTTTTGTTCCCCCCATCACCCTTTTTGCTTCCTCTAGAGTCAGTCTGGAAAAAATAAAGAAAAAATGAGTGGGAAAAATTCTCCCCGACCCGGCTCCTGTTCTGCGGGTTGCGGGTTTTATAGCAACCCCTAGATGTTGCCAATAAATTGGCAATCATTGGTTCCGTTTTTCTCAGGGGCTCCATCTATGCCCTTTTTTTTCCTCAAAGCTGCCAGAGAGTTACACCCCCGGGCTTTTTCTCTCAGAGAAGAACGTTAATTGCCTTTTTCACTTCAAGAAATGGGGGCAACATCTCAGCTTTTCGATCATCGGGTGCGGGGGCCCCGACTTCTATTTTGTATGCACAACTTTACATCAGTCAGCCCTTGCAGTCCTATTTTGCCTTTCAATTTTTGGCCAAGGGGTTCTTCCACAGCTGTGGAAAACCGCCATTGTTCTTTTTTCCGCAAACCAGGCACTAGGGGTGAAAACCCCCCACTATGTCCCCTTTCCTTTCCCGTGCAGTTTGCAAAGTAATGAAAAGTCTAGTAAAAAAACTTTAGGGGGGGTTTTTTAGAGACACACAACGTCTCTCCCTCGTCAATATGGCTTTCGTAAGGGCGTTCTACCATAACCCTTATGCGCTTGGATACGTTGTTGTAATGCCTTTTCGAAAAACCACTCAGTTATTGCCTATTTTTTGATCTGAGAAGGCATAGACACAACTTGGGGGTATAAAATTTTTTGCCCCAAGCCACTCCTTAGGCCTTCGAGCAAACTACCTCCCTTTTTAAGAACTTTTTAAGGCAGGCTTTCCGTGTTGGGTTAATAATTGCTCTCCCCACTTTATCCCAACGAAAGGGGTCCCCCAGGGTTTGTTTGGCACAACCTTTTTTCCTTGCTTTTATGTTTGGCTCTGTTTCCATCAAATATTTGGTCTCCTCTATGTTATGACTTCGTTTGCCTGTGCAGGCGCTGACTGTACCTCCTTACAGTTCTTCCCGCATGCATCGACCGTGGTTTTTCCCAAATTTGGGCCCCAACATGGGTTTTAAAATTTTTCCCGCACTAAAAACCCCCCAAATCACTTTCACTGACGTCTGTACCGATCATCCTTTGTACCTCTATGGGTCACGTATCCCCAAATGATACAGTCAATTTTTGGGCCCCTCTTTTATCGTAAGGGTTTTCCTGGGAAAACCCCACTTACCCCTCTGAAGGCAACTTGTCACAGCCGGGTGAACTTCTTTAAAAACCCTTGCTCATCTTTCGTGGGGGCTGATCGTGAACCCCCTTCACCCACATTCCCCCCTTATTTTATCGAAACTTGATTTTGGGGACCAGATTATTCAGCGGCATCTTGTACTCTCTCTGCCTTAACCCCTTCATCACCAAAGGATTCGTTTATGCCTTGGGGCTTTTTTCGCTCTTCCCCTGTCGAAGCCTCCCTTTCAAAAAAGCGAACGTTCCCTCCTTTTCCGATCGCCCTGATGCCCGGGCCTCGCTACTTGTCCTTCTGATCTCCGCAATCCTTCCTTTTTTGAATGGTCAGATATTGAGCATTCTTTAATTGTTCGCCGCCCCTGCTTACTCCCTCCCTTCTCTCTTTGCCTTCATTCGCTTTGTCTTTCTTCAAAACCACCCTTTCATGGACATGTGCATCACACTTTTTTTCCCCACCCCCTGGGAAGTTCCCGCTGTTCGAGTCTTTCCTCCCTTTCTCGAAAGCCCAACTTCTAGGTTTGCTTCCCGCTCTCTTTTTCTTGACCATTTTTTTCATTTTTCTCAGCCTTGCTGGTACACAGATGGCTCTAAATTTCTGACGGCGTGGATTCCCCGCAGTGTTTTCCGGGCACGTGACAAGGGTTTACTATCTTCACTAGTATTTTTTACGTGAATTATATCCATCCTTACAGCACTTTTCCGTATTTATCTAGCCCGTGTCATCATTTGTGGTTGTCTAGACTCCCTTGGTTTACAGGCTATACAAAATTTTTACACCTCACCCCCTTTGTCCCCCGTATCCAAAATTTTGGCTACGCCGCATCTTTCTAAGCAAAAGATATTGTTTTTTTTTTTGGGCCCTGGTTTATGTTTACGTACAGGGCAAGAACGGAGACACTGCTGCGCGGTCACAGTACATGCCTACCCTTTTTATAGAGGGTTTCATGTCGGATATTTTGGTAATATTCCCCCTTTACACCCGTTTGGCAAACAACGTGGATACTATGCTCGGGAAAAAACTTAGTTTTTTAAACCGGGATTGGTTACGGGCCCGTCTTCTTATCACCAGTGTCGGGTTGGGGACTACCTCTCCCGTTTTCGCTTTGGCCATATGTTTTTATCATGGTTTTCTCATGAGGGCGTCTTGCCCTCTCTGGAGAATTCCCAAACTCCTTATCAGCACCACTTTCTTTTGGGATGCCATTTATAAAACGAGCACGAGAATTTCCCTCTTCGCGTCTTCGCCCCGCTGCTCTCTTTTCCCTTTTCCCTTCCGCTGATGGACCCACCTTTCATCCGGACTCCTCATTGACTTTTTGACAAACGACTGACTTACCCCACAAATTTTTGATACTTTTCACCCTTTTCTATTGTTCTCTTGCTACCCTCTACCCCCCTCTACCCTGCCCGTTTTTTCTGAACCTACTGATCATCCCCCCTCCCTTCTGCCACCCAAAATTCCTTGTTCCCTTTCCCCTCCCCTGCACGCTGTATAGCCCTTGGGGTTTAGCGCTTTTTTTTTGATTAAAATAATAAGTATAATCCCCCGGGTTTAGTGCTTCCCCCTTGATTATAATAATAAATCCACAGCACCCCCCTTTAAAGGGCCCAAAAAAAAAAAGGGGGGAATTTATGTTTTTACTCAACCTTTAAAAAGTATAAAAAGAAAACTGAAAAGTTATTTTCAGAAATAAAGGTGGATCCAGTAAACCTTGCAGGGTGTTGTTATAATCAGTTGAAGTGCTAAACCAAAAAGGGTCATGCAGGGTGTTGAGATTAAAAATGTGTTTCCTTTATTTCAGATGAAATACCAATAAAATGACTGAATGGTCCTCTTTAGAGAAGAATGCCATTCCACTATGTCTGGGCAAATCTAATGTGATCTTTGTGTAGTCTTGAGAGATTAGACTCCTCCAGTCAACTATGATGCAAGGACAACCAGAAGTCTAGGGATTATTATTATTATTATTATAATCAAAAAAGAAGCGCTAAGCCACAAGGGCTATACAGCTGAAGTCGGTAATCTTGACTAATGGAAGAGGTAAAACTTCGGTGTATTTGGCTTTCTCTTAATTATATTTTGTTCTTAATGCCATAGAATTCTCCAAAACTGCCTCTCAACTTAAGGGTTAGCTGTAATTTTGGTAGATTGTTTATTCAAATGAACATATTACAAATAAACATTGAAATTATGCCCACTACTACCCAAGTGGGATTGTTTTATTTGAAATCACTATAATAACAAATTGCATACAATTAATGTGAATATAGATTAACTACAAAGCCTGATGTAGTTGTACCCTAAGTAAGCTTAGAATTCTGTACATCAAAATTAAAAATGTACTGGAAAATAAGTACAAAAGGAATTTGAATTATTTAATTTTACTAAATTATCGGAACAGAGTAAATTTTCTTTTTGATGGCAACTGTCCATTGCGATGTAATAGGGCGCCTTCGATATCTGTTAAGTTTGGTAGACGGCTAAGGGTTCCCAGGGCTGCTACTGCAGGTTTACTGCGCAGCATTTGTCCTGCTACTCGCATGATGTCATCTGTATTCACCTTATCTGGAAAGGAAGATTTATAGTCACTGGAGCTGTATGTCCTTGTGGTAGCGCTTCTTTTTGATTATAATAATAATAATAATATAGTCACTGGATAAAATTGCTTCTCTCATTAAAGGGTACATCAAAGCTATCAAATCTTTTTACTACTTGATAAATTAAATTATGCCAGGTCTGACCATCCCCTCCACAAAACTAATCAAAGACTTTAAAAAAAAAAATTAGATTTCAATTCTCACATTCCTTTAAATCCCTTCTTAAATTTAACCCAAAACACAGGCTACTTTTTTAAAACCCTTTCCCTTTTATCTTTGTACCAACTATTTTCTAAACATCCAAAGGGTACACAATTTTCACTTACAATGAAACTTACTATAAGATGCATAAAATGTGAGGTGAAGTCTTTTTCCTGTAGCTTTAGTAACCTGTCCCCAATGTCTTCAAATTAATACAGGTCGGCTTCTAATGTCGTCTTAGTAACATTGACTGAAGTTTTTTTTTCGCCCTCTGAGGATAAAATGGTCAATTTATAAAATAAGTTTCAATTTTTATAAGATTTTTTAAATTTTATTTAAATATAATATTACAAAATTTTTTTTCCCATATAAAGACCCAGGTTTGGATATGCGAAAAAACCTTTAAAATGACTACTAAAAGCCAGCCTGTCTCGAAACCTGCAATTCTTTTAAAAATTTTTTCAATTTTTTTTAATTTTGAACTGCCTTATTAAAATTGCCCTTGGCATTTCACCCTCTGCAAGAAATAAAATTTTTAATGTGATCACAGGAAAGATTAAGGTTTGGGGCCAAAAATGGGTTTTTGGAACTGAAGGACATTAGCAAAAAAGGGTGCCCCAATATTTCCTCCATTGCACCACTGGAAAGCAAAGGGTCGGTTATATGGTCACATCAAACACTCCAGGATAAACAACAGAGGTTGACCATGAAAAGATCAAAAATTTGAGATTTTTTTTTTTTTTTTTTTTTTCAACAAGTCGGCCGTCTCCCCACCGAGGCAGGGTGACCCAAAAAAGAAAGAAAACCCCCAAAAAGAAAATACTTTCATCATCATTCAACACTTTCACCACACTCGAAACATTATCACTGTTTTTGCAGAGGTGCTCAGAATACAAACAGTCTAGAAGCATAAACATATAAAGATACACAACAATATCCCTCCAAACTGCCAATATCCCAAACCCTCTTTAAAGTGCAGGCATTGTACTTCCCATTTCCAGGACTCAAGTCCGACTATATGAAAATAACCGGTTTCCCTGAAACCCTTCACTAAATATTACCCTGCTCAACTCCAACAGATCGTCAGGTCCCAAGTACCATTCGTTTTCCATTTACTCCTATCTAACACGCTCACGCACGTTGCTGGAAAGTCCATGCCCCTTACCCTACAAAAACCTCCTTTTTCCCCCTCTCTCCACCCTTCGAGGACGACCCCTTCCCGCCTTCTTCCCCTATAGATTATAGCTTTTCCATTGTCTTCTACTGTATCATTCTCTCTAAATGACCAAACACTCAAAACCCTCTTCTGCCCTCGACTAATACTTTATTAACTCCACACTTCTCTATTTCCACACTCCGAATTTTCTGCATAATATTTACACCACATTTGCCCTTAAACAGGACATCTCCGCTGCCTCCAACCGTCTCCTCGCTGCTGCATTTACCACCCAAGCTTCACACCCATATAAGAGTGTGTACTACTATACTTTCATACATTCCCTTCTTTGCCTCAATAGATAACGTTTTTGATCCACATATACTCAACCCCACTAAGAAATTATAAAGAACTTCTTACAGGTTCAAAATTTTGAATGACTACCAATCTGAGCCATTTTTCAATTAGACTAATAATTAAACTGTTGGTAATAACATGGACATGCCAGATTCAAAGCTAAATGCCATTTAGCTGGGAATTTGGAGATAGCCAAAAATGAAAAAAAGGGACGTCAAAAATATTCAAGAAATGAAATTTTTGGAAACTCGCACAATTTGCGTCCATGAACAAAAATTTGGAATACAGTTACAGATTTGAAAAAAAAAAACCATGCTACATACTGACCTCGAGTTCTTCCTTACTTGTATACCCAGCCATAGCAGCAAACTCTCTAGTAAGAACTTGTGTGAGTTCTCCAAGGTGTGAGGGGTGGGAGCAGAGGCATGAAGGGCAAAACACACCACTGTCACTATATGCAGATTATAAGCATAGCATTGTGCATCCAATGATATCTGAAAAAGAAAATTAACAATACACCTAATCTATAAAAGAAATAATTTTAGATCATCTTTTCATATCCCTTCCTAGGCATTTTTCAGCAGTGTTAATAAATTGAGGAGGAAATGATAACAAGACTTGAAGAATCTCAAAGCATGTAAAATTCCACCGAGGCAGGGCGACCCAAAAAATAAAAACTTTCACCATCATTCACACATGATCACTGTCTTTACGAGGCGCGCGATACAACAGTTTAGATCTCGCCCCCCCAAACAGCCGTTATCCCAAACCTCTCCTTTAAAGTGAAGGCAATGTACAGTGGAACCCGTATCCATGGATTTGTTATCAGGGGTTTCAGTTACCCATGGTTTACTGTGACTCAAAAAAAAACCCTTAATTCTGCTTAATAATGGCCCCAAGCACTAAATAGTGATGCTGGCAGTCTTCAAAGCCTAAAAAGAAGTCGTGAAATTATGAAATGCTTCCCATCAGTAAAAAAAAGTGCTAATTCTTGACTTATGCAAAATAAATTATTGATTAAGTTTTATCATAGGTATGTATGTAAACAAAAAAATGACATACATATTTTTGCTACTATCCACAGTTTCAGGTATCCATGGTAGGTCTTGGAGTGTATACCCATGATTACAGGGGGGAAGAGGGGTGGGACTACTGTAATTCCCACCTCCAGGACTTAGTTCAGCTAACCGGTTCCCTGAATCCCCTTCACAAATAATTACCCTGCTCGCCCAGTCCCAAAAAACTTTTTTATCTCCATTCACTATCTAATATTTTTTTTTTATTAACAGGGTTTCAGCCGTTTCCCACCAAGGCAGGGTGGCCTGAAAAAAGAAAAATTTTATCATTCACTGCCTTGCCAGAGGCATGCTTATACACAAATGCCCTCCTAAATATATCTTACAAAATTTCCAAATATAAACATTATACACATTTAAAGTTCCTTTACCTGTTAAGGACATTGGTGTACAAGCGGGTATACATGCCCTTGCCTGGGCCACCTGCACTGAAGCGCCCCACCTCCCATAAATCATGTTGAGCACACAAGATGTGACAAAGTCATCGTGCTGGTGGCTCACAGACTCTATGCCTAAACACCAAGTGTGCTAACTCTGGCAGAGGGTTGGGGCCTAATGATACATCTGAAAGATCTGCTTCTTCCTTAAAAAAGAATAAAACAATGGCATTAAAAAAATTAAATTGATACTCTATGTGAAAATAAAACCTGCATATACTGAGTATTTAAAAGTAAATGAGAATTATAGAAATTATGAGTAACATTGTGTGGAGAGTACAGAGAATATTGCACTTTATAACCCAAAAATATTATTAAATTTAAAAAAAAATCTGCATGCATGACCCAATTACCCCTGCCCTGCTGTGCTGTATGACCTTTGTAGGTTTAGCGTTTCTTTTTTTATAATAATTAAAAAGAAACTTTTGTTTTTTTTTAGGTTTACCCTGCCTCGGTGGGATACAACCCTCTGATGAAAAAAAGTAATATGACCCTTTTTACACTACAAAGGTTTGAGAACTATTAAAATGCAGCAACATGCTTAATATCATGAATGTAGAAATTAGAAAAGTGCTGTAGACCCTTGTGGGTTTAGCACTTAGTTCTGATTTAATAATAGGTGGTTCAGACATGTGTGAGAGGGGCTTGGACTTCCGCAAGCATGTGTGAGCTTTAGGAGTGAATAGAGGGAAATGGTTTTTAGGACTTGACGTGCAGCTGGAGTGTAAGCAAGGTAACATTTATGAATGGATTCAGGAAACCGGCATGCAGGAGTTGAGCCCTGGAGAGGGAAGTACATCCCTGCATCGAAGGAGGCGTGTTAATGTTGCATTTTTAAAAAATGTGTGTAAGCTGCCTCTGGCAAGACAGTGATGGGGGGGAAGATAGTGAAATTTTTTCTTTTTCAGGCCACCCGCCTTGTGGGAGAGGGCCAATGTGTTAATAAAATAAATAATAATAACACTAATATAAAAATTTGTGACATTTTGAAAAAAATGATTAACAATGGTATAAGACCAGTATGCAAAGTTTTATTGGAACCCCCCTAAAGGGGGGTTCTTTGAGGTTTGGGGAGGGGTTCTTGATCTAGGGAATTGTATGTGCTCCAGTTCCTGAAAATAAGCTGAAACTTTATCCTCCCCCCCCCAGGACGAAAATCCTATGGGGGTTTGCACTCCCCCTTGTTTAATAAATAAATTTGTCCTTTAGGTATCAATAATTTTCATGGAGGAAATGAATGCATTTGATCTTTTACGTAATTTTTCAGCAGACAATTAAGTGGTGTTTAATGTTTTTTGGGATACCTTCCATGGTCAAAATGACAGACAAGTTAAAAAAATTAAAAATTACCCTTTTTTTAGTCCCCGTGTATTTTGATACAGAATGGTCAACAGCAATAGTGCGACTGTTAAACAAGCTAGGATCTTCTTCCCATATAGCTGGTCGTTCCACAAAGAACCTAAAAAATGAGGAATATAAATAGTACTAATATTGCACAATCTCTCAAAACAAATGAGAATTTTTTGTGAGGACAAAATGAACTAAATTCTCTTACAAATCCCTGAATAAACAGGTCTTACACTACATATGTGGATTACTTGTTTGTTATTTGGGCATGCAAATAAAGGTTTACAGTATATAAAACTCTTGCAACTAGATAGTAGGTTGGTAGACAGCAACCACCCAGGGAGGTACTACTGTTCTGCCAAGCAAGTGTAAAACGAAAGCCTGTATTTGTTTTACATGATGGTAGGATTGCTGGTGTCTTTTTTCAGTCTCATAAACATGCAAGATTTCAGGTACGTCTTGCTACTTCTTACACTTAGGTCACACTACACATACTTGTACAAGCATATATATACACACCCCTCTGGGTTTTCTTCTATTTTCTTTCTAGTTCTTGTTCATTTCCTCTTATCTCCATAGGGAAGCGGAACAGAATTCTTCCTCCGTAAACCATGCGTGTTGTAAGAGGCGACTAAAATGCCAGGAGCAAGGGGCTAGTAACCCCTTCTCCTGTACAAATTACTGAATTTAAAAAGAAAAACTTGCATTTTTCTTTTTGGGCCACCTGCCTTTGGTGGGATACGGCTAGTTTGTTGGAAAAAAAAAAAAAAAAAAAAAAAAAAAAAAAAACTCTTGCATGAGGATTTTTAGTGTTCCTATTCTGCATGATGCTAAGGTATGACTCAAATACAAACTAAATAAGTGTCAAGTTACTCAGGATAACTATGTGTGGGGTTGCTCATGCTAATCTGGACAGTATTCACACTCCATGTACCCCGACTTGTAATGACATTAAATACTGTATTTTATAAATCCTAAAAAATTATTTTAAGCACTTTTTATATCTACAAGCAAGCAAGCTCAGTTTTTTTTTCCATTAATATGGTAGTTAAAATTATTATTATAATAATCAAAGGGGAAGTGCTAAACCCATAGGATTATACAGAATGGTAGTTAAAAGAAAAAGATAACTCAACTGGCTGGAATCAATATGAAGCAAAATTTACTAGATAAACCTATTTTGTAGAATGATATGAAAGTACAAGGCAAGCATCCTTTGTTTTATGGAGCAGATGGCTGTATAATCCTACGGGTTTAGCGCTTCCCCTTGATTATAATAATAATAATATGGAGCAGATATATTACAATCCCATGGCAGCTATATTAAGCTCAATCAGGCCATCAATACTTATTTAGCACATTTCCTTGCAATAATAAAATTCAGTACATTTTGCAAAGAGCACCTATTTCATACAATGAATGTACACTGCACATACATGCCCGATAGAAACTGGATATCTCAATAGGCAATTCCCACTCAACAAATCAGCAAAATGCACAAGAAACATGTACAGGGAAAAGGTGGCTATGAAGTCTCAAAATCTACTTATATCTAAATTATTTGCCAAGAAAAACTGACTAACAATTGAGTGATTTAGAGGATGGAGGAGGATTTTTAAAATCCCCGACAAAGTTTAAATTTAAAGGGCTGAAGAAAATGCCAGAAATTTCCCTAGCCTTTGT